CCACCCATCACTGGTGGTCAAGGTGGTGGTTCCCACCCACCCGCCGCTGATGAAGTCAGGAGAGGGTAAGGGATTTGAGTGTTGGGGTATGCTGGAGCCCTCAACAGCAAGGGTAGCTGGGACATTCTCATCAGGGACAAGTTTCCTTCAGTGTCTACCCTGTTCATCCTTTTCCAGATTCTTAGTTTTCTGGTCCTAGGATGGCAACCAAGGTTGCAGTAGGCAAGAGTTTCTAACGCTGAGTGACATGCCCACTTCCCTTGATACCTCATGTTAACTTATTTAAAACATTTATTGTAGTGTGTGTGTGTGTGTGTGTGCACATGCATGTGCACACACACACGCACACACATGCATGGGCATGTATGTGCACACATGCTTGCATGCACACCTGTGGAAGTCTGGACACCTTGCGTGAGTTGCCTCTTTCCTTCCACCCTGTGGGTTGAAGGACCCGGACTCACATGGTCAAGCGTGGCTGACCCACCCCGAATTTGTTTTGTTGAGACGGAGTCTGTCTCTGCTCAGGCTGGCCTTGAACTCATGACCCTCCCTCCTCTGCCTCCCAGGTGCTCGGATTTCAGGTGTGTACTCCCGCTCCTCCCTCCCCCGTTTAGGTCCACTGAACGTTTCATCCTGTGAGAGGAGGCACGGGGTGCTGGAGGGGGGGGGGTGTCCCAAGGTCACACAGGCAGCCGATTCTAGATCAGAAGCTTGGGGGATTCCCCAGGTCACCCAGCTTTCCCAGCTGGAGCTCTGCTGGTGTCTGGGGCTGTCCTGTGCATTTGTACAGGGTTCAGCAACATCTCTGGTCTCTACCACACGTCCTTCTGGGGAGTGGAAGTGCCCTGTTCCACAACTCCCATGCACACACTCATTTCCAGAGACGACACTGCAGTATTTTATCTTTGTATCCTAATCAACCTTCCCTACCTCAGTATTAAAATCTGAGGTGAGACAGAGTTGGATTACCAGGCCAGCTCTCCTGCTTGTCAGATGCATGACTTGAGGTCAGGGGGCTTCTCTGAACCTCGGTTTCTTTATTGAGAACAGGAGATGGCAGCCTATTTTACACAGAGCAGTAGCAGCGAGAAGGGCCAGGCCATTCTTTGCCCTTGAAAACATTGATTTCCTCCCCTCCCAGAGCAGCGCTGCCCGGTCTTGTGCCCAGCAGCTGACCAAGTCTGGTGTTTGGCACCTCCGTTGTTGATTGCTATTCGAAGCCATTTCAAAAGCCACCGTGGAACATTTTGACCCTCACTGTCTCCTTCTGTGTAAGGTCAAGGCTTAGCTTTGGGCCAGAGGCATGGCACTCTGGAAAGGTTCTTCTTCAGTTGGCTCCTGTGCTGGGGGAAGGTTGTCTGTCTGAAGCCAATGTTGGTTGGCCTCCAGCATTGTCAAGAAAGAATCAAAACAGCCCAGGCCCTGGAGATGGGCCCTGAGACAAGGCCTCCCCTGGAGTCTGGTATGCATTCCGGGTGGTCTGCTGGACTCCTGGCGACCTGCCTGGTGAAAGGATTCTGTTACCAATCTAAAATCAATATGATACCACAGATAGTTCTGGGCCTCGAAATGGTGATTTTCTTCTTCATCAAATCGTACAAGGTGGAAGGTTTATGTGTCTGAGAGTGGGAGGGGTCAGACTTTCTGACACTGAGTGACATCAGCCTGTCGGGAAGGTCCCAGACAGGCGAGACTGGTGTTCACATGGAGGTTTTGCAGAGTGAGTTCAGCAAGTGGCTCCTCTTAGACCCTGCCCTTCCTGGAGTGGCTGCTCACTGAGGGTGTACCACGTGCCACACCAAGCCCTTTACTTTACTTTCCGATGATTGATGATTCGGGCCACCACGATCCTAAGGTAGTGTGCAGCCATATTGAATGTGGTGTGTGTCCCTTATTCCAGATGGGAGAACTGAGTGCTTCAAGGGACACTGGGGTGGCTGTGGCTTTGGAAACCAGAGACATCATCCAGGAGAGGAACACTTGAAACAGGGGCTATGGCTGACCTCGCTGGGGTCAGCAGGACATTGTGTGTCAAAAGACAGGATGCTCTCGTGAGGGAACATTTGGTTTGGGAGCACGGCTCAGTCAGTATTTCAAGTTGGATCTGGGTTTGGTTCTCCCAAACCCATATAAAGATAGATGTCACGGCTGGGGGGTGGAAGCAGGAGGATGTGTGGACGTTACCACCAACCAGTGCAGCCTAATTGGCGAGCCCCAGACCAGTGAGAGAGTCTGTCTCAAGGGAGGTGGATGGCATTCCAGGGGACAGCACCCAAGGTTGTCTTCTGGCCTTCACATGCATGTTCACACATGTGCACACAATGAACATATATGAACACATGTGAACATGTATGCTCTATGAAAACTAAAAGGGAACATCCACATGGCCAATATCCCAAGCAGACCCTGGGACACTGTCAATGTAAGGGTCAGGATGAAGAACTGTGTTGCTTGGGTGGTTAGGAGAGAAACTCTAAGGAGAAAAAGGGGAGAGAAGAAAATGAGTGACCTAGTGGGCTAGCCTCAGAACTGCAACAAAACATATGATGTAGTGGGTTAGCCTCTGAACTTCAATGTCTAAACTTCAGCATATAGTAGAGAGTAAAAAAGAGGTAAGGAGATGTTTGAGTCCCAGGCGTGAGTTTCCGGATAGAGAAGGTGGAGCTCGGGGCTGTAGCTCAGAGTCTTTCCCTTGTGTGTGCGGCTTGGGCTCCATTCCCAGCACCATAAAGGAACAGGAAGCCAGACAGAGAGGACCTGACAGGTCCACAGCTTCACTGACAGAAACGGACTTGTCTGTCTGCACTGTGACACCATCAGATACAGGGGGCAGAAGACGATGCAAACTTCGAGAAAAACCAGGCCACCAACAAGGATCAAAGATTAAAACTCACTCACCAAACAAAAACTCTTAGAGGCTCTGACAGGACAATGACACAAACTTCTGAAACTCAGCACAGATCAAATGATTGGGCTCCAAGGCAGGAAAAAAAAAAAAAACGAAACAAAACAAAACAAAACAAAAAAGTCGCCAAACACGCAAGGCGACCAAACCTTTACCCTCCACTTCTCCACTTCTGTAGATTTCTCAGAAAGCCACTTGAGGATGTCTTCCATGAAAGCCACGGGGACACCAGGGAAGGGGAACAGCACACACAGCAGAGAGATAGTTCAGGGCTCCTGGCCGTGATAACCAGGAAGCCAAGAGAAGTCATGGGTGGGGTCTGTGGGTCTTGGACACCATCAGTGCACACTGCTGTTATACACAATGTCCAATATGAACCTGCTTGGGGGTGTGCTCCAGCAAAACAAGGAAGTACCCTGAAAAAGAGGGAGCCAACTGGTCACCCCAAATTAGAATCCTGTTCTAAGAGAAGGCAAAAGGAAGGACAGACATCCATGGTTCTGAGTCCTTAAGAACAACCATTCAGGCCGGGTGGTGGTGGCGCACACCTTTAATCCCAGCACTTGGGAGGCAGAGGCAGGTGGATTTCTGAGTTCGAGGCCAGCCTGCTCTACAGAGTGAGTTCCAGGACAGCCAGGGCTATACAGAGAAACCCTGTCTCAAAAAACAAACAAACAAAAAAAAACAACCATTCAGTAGTGCGTGTCTGTGTATCCAGACATGGAACCCTGCAGTTGTAAAATGCCAGAGCTGACAGCAATTTCCTTTCACGGGAGTTAGAGAGGAGGAGAGAGGCAGGGACCTCACTGTGTTCTGATGGTCTTTTAAAAAAATTGTTTTGTTTTGTGCGTGTGTGTATATGTGCACATGTGTGCATGTGGGTGCATGTGTATTCATGTGTGTGTGTATGTACGTGTGTGTGCATGTGCTGTGGTGCCTGTGTGGAGTTCAGAGGACAACCTCTCCTTCCACCATGTGGGTCTTGGGGATCGAACTCAGGTCATCGGGTTTGGCAGCAAGCGCCTCTACCCACTGAGCCATCTTGTTTCTCTGGTCATATGATTTTTCTTTTGTTTTCAAGCTTTTACAGTTACTGAACCCTCAGCATTGAGTTGTCATCCACACTGACCCTCTAGAGTGGTTTCTTTTCTTTCTTTTTCTTCTTGTCTTCCTTCTCTCTCTTTATTTCTTTTATTTGTTTGCTTTTTTTGAGACAGGGTTTCTCTGTGTATACCTGGCTGTCCTGGAACTCACTCTGTAGACCAGGCTGGCCTTGAACTCAGAAATCCACCTGCCTCTACCTCCCAAGTGCCGGGATTAAAGGCGTGCGCCACCACCGCCTGGCAAGTTTTCTTTTTGTAAAAGTCTATTTTTATTATATGTGTATGAGTGCCTGCATGTATGTCTGTGCAATGCCCATGGAGGCCAGGAGAGGGCGATAGAGGCACAGCTGGGAACCCCCTTGTGGGTGCTGGGAACTGGGTCTTCTTCAAGAGCAGCCAGTGCTGTTAGTGAATCTCTCTGGGGAGAGAGATTTGATCATGTAACAGGCATGAGGGTTTGGTGGATCCCCTTCCTCTCTGCATTTCCAGTACAAACACACACACACTGACTGACATGGGGTAGCGAGGCTTTGAGTCTCCTTGAGTATCCAGGTTTCCTGTGTGTGTGTCTGTGTGTGTGTACAGGGTGTGTGTGTGAGAGAGAGTGTGTGTATGAATATGTGTGTGTAGGGTATATGCAGGGTGCATGTGCATGGTATATATAGTGTGTATGTGTGCAGGGTGTGTATATGTGTGTATATGAATATGTATGTTCAGGGTGTGTGTGAGTGTGCAGGGTATATGTGTACAGTATGTGCAGAGTGTGTGTGCGCATATGTGTGTGTGTGTGTATATGAATATCTGTGTTCAGGGTGTATATGAGTGTGCAGGGTATATGTGCACAGTATGTGCAGAGTGTGTGTGCACGTATGTGTGTGTATGTGTATACACACTCTGGCCACTGCTTTTGCCCTTTACAGTGTCAGTCTCCCACTCTGTCCTGGAGGCCCCAGGCTTCCTCCCTCACACCTGCCATCTTTCCTCCGAAGGCCCAGCATGTCTGGACTGCATCTGGTAAAGAGAGGCCGTGAACACAAGAAACTGGACCTGCACAGAGATTTCACTGTAGCTTCCCCAGCCGAGTTTGTCACCCGCTTTGGAGGCAACAGGGTCATCGAGAAGGTACAGATGGGTTCTGTGTGCTGCTGGTGGTGGGGATGGGCCCCTTTTCTTGCTGGAGGCTCAGCTTCAGATTTTTTCTTTGCACTTCAGAGGGTGGGGGGTTGGGAGGAGGCCTCCTCTTGAGACTCCTGCTTGGGGAATGAGTGCTTGCTTTTGGGAGCTTTTATCCCTCCCCCCAGCAAGAGTGCATTAGCCCATTCCTCAGAAAGGGAGACTGGCCGGGCAGTGGTGGCGCACGCCTTTAATCCCAGCACCTGGGAGGCAGAGGCAGGTGGATTTCTGAGTTCGAGGCTAGCCTGGTCTACAGAGTGAGTTCCAGGACAGCCCAGGCTACACAGAGAAACCCTGTCTCGGAAAAACAAAACAAAAAAACAAAACAAAGGGAGACTGAGTCTCCGGGCTTGGTCAAGAGGCTGCTGGGTGCTTTGGGGAGTGGAGCTGCTTGCTGGGCTTAAGATAGGAGAACATAGAAGCCGCCTCAAGGTTAGGGCTTCTTCCTAGCAGAGAGGAGACCGCAAGCTGCACTGAGCAGGTCCCTACCACGAGGTTATGCCTGCTGCGTTCATGACAAGCAGTGACCCAGAGGTGGAACGTAGGTCGTCCAAGGTCGTAGCTTAATAACTGGAGATGAGTGAGGTTCATCACTTTACAAGGGAGGAGAGATTACACGTGGGGATTTGAACCTGGCTTGATGGTTCCTCTATCTTGCTCCAAACAGTCAGATTTAGAGTCTCCTGGGGGCGAGGGGAATCTAGAATCTAGAAATTGCTTTTTTTTTTAAGATTTATTTATTTTATGTAAATACATGATTGCTGTCTTCAGACACACCAGAAGAGCACACCGGATCTTATTACAGATGGTTGTGAGCCACCATGTGGTTGCTGGGAATTGAACTCAAGACCTCTGGAAGAACAAACAGTGCTCTTAACCACAGAGCCATCTCTCCAGACCTTGCTTTTTTTTTTTTTTTTTTTTTTGAGACTGAGTTTTATGTATCCCAGGTTGGCCTCAAACCCCAAGGATAAACTCGTCCTTCTGATAATCCCACCTCCACCCACCACGTGTGTGCCATGACAGCCAGTCTATGCAGTACTGGCCACTGAACCCAGGATCTGTGTGTGTTCAGCAGTGAGCACTCTCCGCACTGAGATACCCACTACCGTCCTACTTCTAGACTCTGTATTTTGGACTCATTAGGACACCGTTTTGCAGACAGCTTCACTGTGGCCGGTGTTTTATCCTTAGAACGTCATGGCTAGAGCTTCAGGTAGCTTTTGCCCAGGGCTCTCCCACTGTCTGACCTGGGAGCTGATCCTGGCTTGCCCTCAGTACTGGAAAAAGCCACCATCTGGGGATGAGAGTGGAGAGCTGGCTCCTCCCCAATGGGACTCCAAGAGTGTGTCCTCCCCTGCCACCCCCAGCCCTGCCCTCTGAACCAAACCTTGCTTTAGCAATGAGAAAGCCACGCTAGGCTGCCCTCATTCCTCCCCAGTGGTGCTCCTCCCCAATGGTGCTCCCCCAGTGGTGTTCCCCAAAGGCTTAGCAGGGCCATGCATCTGAGCCAGGAGTCCTGGCCAAGGCCTAAGGTCACAAGTGTGAGCTTACTGGGCCTGAGTTTCCCTATCTGTTAATCAGAGGCAGTTGCATCCCACACTTTGGAGGAGGCTAGCCCTCAGCAGCATGGCCAGGGCTGTATAGCACTGAGAAAGAAAACAGGATGCAATTGCTGTGTGAGTCATAGCTTGAGACCAGAGGCATAATTACCTGTGGATATTTGCTATTATTCACTTTGAGACAGGATCTCACTGTGTAGCCCTGGCTGTCCTGGAAGTCTCTATGTAGACCAGGCTTGCCTCAAACTCACAGAGATCAGCCTGCTTCTGCTTCCCGAGTATTTTACATTGTATTTTATATTATGAGTGTTTGCCAGCATGTGTACATATGCAATGTGCATGCAGTTTACTCAGAGACCAGAAGAGGGTGTTAGATCCTCTGGAATTGGAGTTACAGATGCTTATAAAAGATCTGCTGTGTGGTTGCTGAGAATTGAACCCAGGTCCTCTGACAGAACAGCCAGTGCTCTTAACCACTAAGCCATTTCTCTAGGTCTGGGAGATGCTAATTAATTAATTGTCTTTCTTTAGTGCTAGAGGATTGTCTTAGTTAGGGTTTTACTGTTGTGGACAGGCACCATGACAAAGGCAACTCGTTTTGTTTTGTTTGTTTTGTTTTGTTTCGAGACAGGGTTTCTCTGTGTAGTCCTGGCTGTCCTGGAACTCACTCTGTAGACCAGGCTGGCCTCGAACTCAGAAATCTGCCTGCCTCTGCCGCCCAAGTGCTGGGATTAAATGCGTGCGCCACCACCGCCCAGCGACAAAGGCAACTCTTATGAAGACAACATTTCATTGGGGCTGGCTTACAGGTTCAGAGGTTCAGTCCATTATCATCATGGTGGGAACATGGCAGCATCTAGGCAGGCATGGTGCAGGAAGAGCTGAGAGAGTTCCACCTCTTGTTACAAAGGCAGCTAGGAGAATACTGACTTCCAGGCAGCTAAAATAAGGGTCTTAAAGCCCACACCCACAGTGACACATGTATTTCAACAAGGCCACACCTCCTAACAGTGCCGCTTCCTGGGCCAAGCAAGTACAAATCATCACAAGGATCACACTTTGTGCTAGGTAAATGCTCTGCCACTTAGCTACATCCTTAACTCCTATACTATGTATGTGTATGTATAATTATTGTTGCTGGGCAGTGGTGGCACACGCCTTTAATCCCAGCACCCGGGAGTCAGAGGCAGGCAGATCTCTGAATGTGAAGCCAGCCTGGTGTACAGATTGAGTTCCAGGACAGCCAGGGCTAAATAGAGAAACCCTGTCTGAAAGAAACCCAACCAAACAAAAATGTATAGTTATTGTTAAATGGTTTTTTTTTTTTTGAGAACATTCTACACAGCACTCCATCTATCTGTCACTCCCTCCTTCCATCCCTGCCTCCAACTCATCTGTGTCCCTTCCCCAAATTCATGACCTCTTCTGTAATTATTATTGTTACACACGCATGTGCACCTGTGTACTCACACACCATACACACACACACAAATATTCATATATATGTGAATATATATATATTTATATTTAAATTGATTTATTGAGATGGAATTTTACTGTGTAGCCTGGCTGACCCTGGAATTTGCTCTGTAGACCAGGCTGGCCTTGAACTTACAGAGATCATTCTGCCTCTGCCTCTCAAGTGCTCGATGATCCTTTTAAAAAACCAAATCAGAGCGTTGACAATGCAGGAGAAGCTGAAGGGTATTTTGAAGTACGGGTATGGAGATATCTGGATTTGAGCCCCAGCTCTGACACTTGCTGGCTGTGTGAACTGAGGAAGTGTCCGGACTCTCCTGGTGTCTCCCTCAGGTGCTCATCGCCAACAATGGCATCGCTGCGGTCAAGTGCATGCGCTCCATACGCCGCTGGGCCTATGAGATGTTCCGAAACGAACGCGCCATCCGGTTCGTGGTCATGGTGACGCCCGAGGATCTCAAGGCTAACGCAGGTACCTGAACTTGACCGTTCAGCTCAACCCCAGGCTATCCCATCTTGGCCAGCCCTCACCTCCTCTACTCTGTCCCCGCAGGTCCATCCTGGACCCTAGAGCTATAGGATCTCTTTCACTGGCTCTTGTTCATGTGCTCTTTTGTGTGTGCGCGTGCACCTGTGTGTGTGTGTGTGTGTGCGTGTGCACACGTGTATCACCTCCCCCCCCCTTTTTTTTCCTTTTTCTTTCTTTCTTTTTTTTTTTTTTTCGAGACAGGGTTTCTCTGTGAAGCCCTGGCTGTTCTGGAACTCACTCTGTAGACCAGGCTGGCCTCGAACTCAAATCCGCCTGCCTCTGCCTCCCAAGTGCTGGGATTAAAGACGTGCGCCAACACTGCCCGGCCTATCACCTACCTTTAAATTTTTAATTACCACACAGCATAGCAGGTGTCATTATGGCGTCTTCAAGGAGAATTCATTTTTGTTCTTTCTCTTTCCGCACTTCTCTCTCATCCCCACAATCCCCCACTTCCATCCCCATAAGTTTCTTTAGCCGTCTTTCCCGCAGCCCCCGGTGCTGTTAATCTCCGTGGTTTATTTTCCTCCGCATCCATTGAAACGGAACATACTGTAACGTCACTGTTAGCGATTTGCTTTTTTTAAATGCTTTTGTAGACCCTCCTCTGCTCAGCGTCCAAAGTGACCTTTGAAAAGGAGAGTTAAGGTTTTGCCTTCTCCTTAAAGTGCCTCAGAGCCCACGATGCTCTTCCTGGTGCCAGCAACCTCGGCTTGGTCCCCATCCCTAAGGAACACAGGCTCGGCTCTGCAGACACCACAGTAGAGGCACAGGGACATAGGTTCGTCGCTGGCATAGCAGCCCATAGCCAGCAGGGGGCACTCTCCTATAGAGCCTCTTGGCACATCACACTGACATTTCCCACATGGTTTGATTCCTGTTGGCTCTGGGCTCGATTTATACACCTTGCTCTTTAAGTCTGGGTCCCCGTCTTGGGTTCAGGACCCCTCACACTTGGGTCTCCCAGCAGGGTTCCGCTATTGTGCCGGCTCGTCTGTGCCTCCCCTCCCCCACCTTCCTTACCGCAACCTCCAAAGCTTCTCAGGGAGAACCTAGAACCCAGAGAAGACAAGGTTTTGTTTCTAAATGCTTTTCATGTGCTTTTTACATGCAATAAAAAATATTGTGGGATTGGAGATGTGGCTCAGTCAGTAGAATACTCCGACATGTATGGAGGAGCCCTAGGTTTGAATCCTCATAACACACACACACACACACACACACACACACACATGCACACACACACACACAAACACACACACAACCAGGCAAGGTGGCATATTACTGTAATCCCAGAGCTTGGGAGGCAGAGGCAGGAAGCTCAGAAGTTCAAGGTCCATCCTCAGCTTCATAGAGTTGAGGCTAGCCTGGGCTGCAAGAGACCCAGTCTCCTAACAAAAACAAACAAACAAACAAACACTGTATTACTTAATGATAGAACGTTAAGACAAGCCGGGCGTTGGTTGCACGTGCCTTTAATCCCAGCACTTGGGAGGCAAAGGCAGGTGGATTTCTGAGTTCGAGGTCAACCTGGTCTATAGAGTGAATTCCGGGACAGCCAGGGCTACACAGAGAAACCCTGTCTCGAAAAAAAACAAAACCAACCAACTAAACAACCCCCCCAAAAAACAACAAACAAACAAAAAAACCAAACAATGTTAAGACAAACCCTAAGTAGGAATAATACCCATCCCAGCCTTTTTCCTTTTATCCCAAAGCATAGCCACCGTCAGACAACCAAAACTCTTGATTTTCTCCCCAATTTTGTGGCTGATACCCATGGTCACCACACAGTCCTCAGGGCTGTCCTCGAGGGCAGGATGTGTTGCATGTCACCGGCTCTTGCCTCTCCCTGGTTCTTCCCACTCTCTCCGGTTTCACTGCAGAATACATCAAGATGGCGGATCAGTATGTTCCTGTCCCAGGAGGGCCCAATAACAACAACTACGCCAATGTCGAGCTCATCATAGACATTGCCAAGAGAATCCCCGTGCAGGTGATGGTTCACAGCTCCCAAGGGTGACCACGGGGTGGGGTGGGCATGGGATTGCTCCATCCTACAGTTCAGGATGGCCTGACGATGGCTCACAGCAGATAGATGGCCGCAATGCGATAGCAGGTGGGCTGTGGGAAGACCCTCCTTCACCCCTCTCTGTGTCTGCAGGCCGTGTGGGCTGGCTGGGGCCACGCTTCGGAAAACCCCAAACTTCCAGAGCTGCTGTGCAAGCACGGGATTGCTTTCCTAGGTAACGTGTGCCCTCTGTCGGGTTGGGTCGTCGCTGAGTCAGAGGGTCTTTCTTGCGCTATTCTTCACAGGGAAGACCAGTTTGCTTCCCTGTGAGGGGCTGGTGAGCAGGGGTGCGAGGCTGTGAATGCGTGTTGCCTATGGCAACAGAAACCACTGCTACAATGTAACCAGAGTGATGCTGTGGTAAGCAGCGTCCTGAGCTAATATTTCTGTTGGTATTAAGGTACCAGCCAAGCTGGCCCAATGGTCACATATCTTTGGGCTGCTTTTTGCAGGACCAGAACCCCTCACTTTTTGGTAGGTAAAATCACTCTGCATCTGTGGCTTTTGGGATTTTCATTTGTGGACATGTTAGACAATTTGGTATGCACACAGGCAGTCCCCGTGTGCTCGGGATTTGGGTTCCAGGAGCACCCACAGACAGTGATGCCTCGTCTATAAAACAACATGGTCTTTGTAGGTGCTCTTTGTACCTGTGTCATCTCTAGGTACCTATAACATGGTTCAGCATCCACGCTGGTTTCTATGACATCAATCAGGGAGTCAAGGAGAAGGGGAAATAGTCTAAGACCTGTACAGATGCAATTTACCATCTTCCTAGTCTGTGGTCATTGAATACACCATGCTGGATCAGAGCAGAACAGAGCCGAGCATCAAAGATGGAGAACTTGGTGATGGATGCTGGTCACACAGGCTGTCCTGTCACACAGAGCATGCTCGCTGTGCCACTAGCTGGCTCTTTGAGCCTTTATTGTACCTCCTTCCTGCCGGTGCTTGGTTCCTCCCAAAATGAGCCTCGAATTTGCCACTGAGCTGTTTTTTCTGCTTGGATAAGGGCCAGGTCTAGATGCTGGAAGCTGACCTACGAGGCAGTAGAAAAAAAGGCCCCTGGGTGAGGGAGAGCAGACCAGAGAGCTTCCCTCCATCTCCTTGCTCTCCTGAGTCCAGCCGCCACTACCGTGCACCAGGTTGACACTTGGCCTGTCAGTGGCTCACTCCGGTCCATTCTCCCTGCTACCCCAGGTCCACCGAGTGAGGCCATGTGGGCCCTGGGAGACAAGATTGCTTCCACCATCGTAGCCCAGACCCTGCAGATCCCAACACTACCCTGGAGTGGGAGCGGTAAGGGAGCCACACCTTTGGGGTGACGGAAATGGGTTTTTAGAAATTCGTTTGCTTAGAAATTTTAGACAAGTAAGAATGTGTGTTCTTTGTGTCGGACTCAGAGCATGAACTGGTCGTGGTGG